TTCCTTCCTTCCTTCCTTCCTTCCTTCCTTCCTTCCTTCCTTCCTTCCTTCTCCTCCTTTAGTTTTCAAATTTGTTTTTTTGATCCCTATTTGTTTTTTTTTGATCCTTATTTGGTTTTTTTTGATCCCTATTTGTTTTTTTTTTGATCCCTCTCCCATTTGGGTTGATCCAAACATTAGTTTGAGAAGACCCCCAGAATCCAAAAGCTTAAAACCTGGTCTTCGACACATTCCCCACAAAAACGGCCGATCTCCCACCGCCGCCCTGGGGGGATACCTTCTTCGGCACCGTGGGTGCAGCGGCTGCGGTCACCACATCATGAAGGGATGGGTCCCGCATGGCGACGTTGGCTTTTGGTTGGTGTGACACCTGCGGGGTAACCTGAGATGTAGGGGATATGTATAGAAACGTATTAAAAATGTGAAGATATGTGAATATGATACATGATGATACATGTATTATTGATATGCATGTGTGTTTTTAAATTCCGAATTGATTTGATTCTACGTTTAAAAAGGGTCTTAGAAGTGATAACGGTTGGTGGAATTTTGACTTCGAATTGGGGAAAGGAAGGGCCTGGCTCTAGCTACATATACCTTGAGATACTACAAAATAAAGTGATGAAAGCCACCAGTGAAGCCACTGAGACATAAAAGTTTCCTGACATCTTGATCCAGCTGGCCATATGCAGGAAGAACCATGATACTCTGTGCGATGACAAATCAATGTGATGTACAGAATTCATGATCCTTGCCATTCATCCCCATTTGGTACCATCTGTAGATAATTCACTTCACAGAAGGAAGCTTTTCCCATTGCACTGAAGACTCCAACCCTTCAAAATGGGAACGCCTTCTCAAAGCGTATCCCAATCATCCCAGGACACCCCTGGTTTTCAGGCCATGGCCACATCTTCGCAGTTTTCTTTCGCCCAATTGTTGCAATTGCTATGCCATTTTCGGCAACAGCATGTGAAACAGGCACAATTCAGCGCGTGAAACATGTGTGCAAATGATCTGGTGACGTTCTCTAGCAGGCCAAAGGATATTGCACTATACCAGGAGTTGTAATTCTTTTGGATTCTTTTGGTGTGCCAACCGTTGGAGTTTCCGGATTTGGCTGTAAAGGTGTGCTCCAATTCTCCTGCGCTTCATTCATCTCCGAAGACATGGCAAGTGCATTGCGGCATATCCTTCGGCCAACTCCGATTTCCTACATGGTGGTTCCCTGAAATGGGGTACCCCTAAATCATCCATTTAAATAGAATTTTCCATTGTAAACCATCCATAGACTTGCGGTGTCGCAACTTGGAAGCAGCCCGTCCGACTGACCATCTAAATCTATCTGAATCATTCTAAATCTACAGTCGGATCTTCAGCTGCGGTCGCTGCTCCATCACTTTGCGAAGGGCAGCTGTCCCGATGTCACTGAAGCCTGGCTGCTACAACTTCCAGCTGTGTCAATTTCAACATCTTCTCATCTCACAGACTCCAACATCTTCGTTCATCTTTGAGAGATTGGGGGTGAACAAAAAAACATGCCGTCATTCCAAAGGTTCTCAAAACAATGTAAAACAATGCCAAACATATCGCCAAAAAACGGTTTCCAGTCAGACTCAGATGTTCCAATCGATCAGCAGCTGAGCTCATCAGTGCCTCTGCCATTGCATCTGCATCTTCATCTTGTAGAGAACACGACTCCATTTGGATGTCCGCCGCACCTGAGGTCACCATCGCCACGGCATCTTGCCCCTTCAGGGCATTGCCATTTACCACCAAGTACTCCAACTTACTGTAGTGTGGCAAGGCGTCATGTAGACACTCCAGGTCATCCAAAGAGAGTTGTTGGAGCTGCAAGTGTGTTGTCTTGGAGACTTTGTCTCTGAACACCTTCTCTTGCAATGCAAGCACCTGCTCGGCATCATTTCGATGCGTGAACCGCATCCTTTGCATCCTCTTCCTGAATATTTCTGGAGGAGTGGGAATACAACCTCCAAGCACATCCATACGCAGGCGGGACCACTCAGATTCACTCTGGCACCAACCTCGAAGCTCATAGGGGGTGTTGTTCAGCCTCAGCTCGCAGATTGGTGTCAGTTTCACCTGGTCTTCCGTCGCGTTGTACACCAAAATCTCGCCCTCGAACTTCTTGTCCTCAGGTGTGAGTTCAGTGAGGATGTCTACGTGCACAATCTCATGACTGTACAGCCAGTGCAT